ATTTTTTTTCCAGTGTATGACTGGCTATGATTTGTAAGTAATAGAAAAGATGAAAAAAAGCTGAGTTACCCAAATAAAATAAATAGATAAGTAGCAGATTTAAATGGAAGAAATCAGGTCGAAAACAAAGGGCAGACATAGGACGCCGATTACAAAAAGTTAATCTAAGAGAAAAGTTTGTTTGAAGTAAAGATGAACATTTCAAACTTCCCTCCAAATAAAAACCACATAGTAATTTCTCTTCACAGAGCAGCCTTTGTAGAATCACATAAATACTAGTTTTGCGGAGGTGACCATTTCCTATTTCCTTGCCACAGAAACACTAACCGGGTGTCTCCCTGATTTATGCCCAAAAATCTCCCCCACCCTCTTTTTTTTACAGTTCTAAAAACATCCTCTCATCTCCTTCGAGCTACAACCAGCTTTTGCAATGAGGATTCTTTTCCCCCAATTATCCCAGGTCACTAATAAGAAGGGTGTGGAGTCACTGGGCTGTGCTGCACTGGCCTTCAGGCTTTCACAACCAAATTGAAACAGCTCGAGAAAAGAGAGCAGTTGAATCCCGGCTAATTGCGAGCAGTGCGTTTGTGTGCATGTGTGCGTGCATGTGCGTGAAACAAGAAGCAACTGTCTGGAGTGTGTCTGAAACCCGAGATGAGAGGCGACAAATAAAGATTCAGAAACGGGGGAACGTGCGACTGAGATCGGTTCAAGACGCAAATCTCTGGACGCAAAGTTTTCGGTCCTGGCCTCTTTGTGGTCCTCCCGTTCTGTCTCCCCTCCTTCGTCTCCTCTCCCCCCTCTCCTCTCCTCTCCTCTCCTCCGTCCTCGCTCATCAAAGTCTTCTGACAGCTGACGGGTGCACACATCAGAGAGAACAGAACCGGGCCACAGACACAGCAGAGCGCGCAACCACCAGTGCTCCAACAAGGCTCCCTTTCATGTGTCTGGATACGCACTTACAAGACTTTAATACGGGTTTTTTGGGGCCAGCGATACAAGCCACACTACAAAAAATAATATCCAGGCAAGTTAAAATGACTTAAATTAAAGGTGTACCATGTGTTTTTTTGGTTAGGGGCCCATCACATGCTTGTTTTTATGGATATGTCATTGCTCTGTCCACAGTATGGCATTAAACAGCTCTACTTTACATTTATTCAATTACAGGTGGTTTTATAGCTCCAAAATATATAAAAACCTGCATGCTGACTGTGAGCGGTGTCGCCTCTCCACAGATCTGACCTGTAACTTGGTCTAGTTTGGTCTCTGTGAAAATAGAAAGGTTTAATACCATACTGTGAAAGATTCAAGGTTACACAATGCACCTTTGTTTCAAGCAACATTAGATTTTGTTTCTTATTTTGATTGCAAAGAGTTGTTGTTTTTCTTATCTTGCAGTGAGATATATTTTCATAGTTTAAGTACAAAAAGTCTTGTTCCATTGGCAGATAATTTTAGCCTGATTCATCAGCTGGTTTCACTTCGTGGAAACCGTCTAACCTCACAGCATTAGGATTCGTTCGCTTGATGGTAGGCGGGTACTTTTTTATTTAATCAATCACTGCTATTTGGCCGTGATGTGTGTAATGCATCTTTGTTCCGGCTTTAAATCCTCGAGCTTGGGAATCGTTGCCAACACAGAAAGTATGGCTTCGTCTACATCCATCTCGACCACTTTGTTTACTGTTGTGCTGTATCACAAAAGGGACCCAGACAGACGCTTGAGTTTGACGTCATGGCTTCACAGCTCTTCTCTGATTGGCCGGTGCGTGGTCAACAACTTCCGGGGTTCTTGCAAACCGTCTAGTGTATTTTGATTCCTGACCTAGTCCCTGGAGAGAAATGAAAGCCAGCCTGGCTAAGATCATTTTACTTGTCAAGTGTGACTTGTCAAGTCATGATACAATTTTCTTAATTCAAGTGATCTCAACTTGGCTAGATTTTAGTTTTTGCAGTGCATGATTCAATATAAAAGCTGTTGCTTTAAGTGGCTCGTAAAGATCTACTTTGCATGCCGACAAAGGCTCTTTCATGAGAGGTGACTCACAACCAGCAACTTTTATGACATTTTGCCACTATTTGCAACTCTCAGCTCTTCGTGAACTGGATTAAAAAGCCACCTTTGTTGAGCGGCGCGTCTCCCTCTGTGAGAGAAATGTGCACTGGGAGAAGGCCTAGGGGGCATGTGTGTGTGTCTCGGCCAGATAACCATCTCAAAGGCAGTGAATCAGTGTGCTTAGTCAGACAAAAGACTCACAGCGAGAGGAAGTGAGGGGCTGGAGAGTGAAATGGGACTGTACAACTACAAAAAGAGGAGTGTTAGGAGAGATTGAACTTAAAGGGGAGAGGAGTGAAGTGATGAGGGCGAGACACAGGGACCCTAATTTCAGTGTGTTAGAGTAATGGCTTCGGCTCCGCTGTGGTGAGAGGCGGCTGTGTGGCAGGCCCAGGGTTTGACATGTTTAAGACGAGGGAGAAAACCAACATGGAGTCATAAAGTACTGTTCCGCTTCGGTCTTTTTGAACAAATCACAGCTGGTTAGGTCTGTCATGATAATTACTATATTGACTTTTAACTAGGGACGCACTGATCTGATGTTGGCACCAAATATCAACACCAATACAGAAAATTTGCTCGATCGAATATCTGCTTCCAATATCCCTGGAAGAGCTTTGTTCCAGCTCTTATAGCGCAAATGAAGCTGTAATCTATTTATTTATCAATTTTATTATTATATTTTAATCACATACTCTGTCTTGCAAAGTCCTGTTTTTATATATTTAGTATTTATTGTAATTTTTTTAGCCAAGTGTAATTAATGAATTAATTATTTGTGGACCAAAACCATTCTGCGCTGGAGCACTGTTACACTTTATTATAATTGTGTTTTTTAATGTGTGACTTTTGTGTAGAGTGGCAATTAATGAAATGTGAAACGTGGGACCGACACTCTCAAATCTGTAAAACAAGTTTATCTAAAGATTTTAAAAAAAACAGCCAAACCTAACTGGACATATATATTGAAGTAATAACACTATTTACAGCTTGTAGTTGTCCCAGAAAGTCTCATAATGTCAGAATTTCTATATAAAGCTGCTCTGTAGTTACTTGAGAGATCAAAACAGCTACATAACACATTTGGATCAGTTCTGTCTTATTTTATTTGTGTTTAAAAGAAAAGGAACACTATTTTCAGTCTCTGGTATCAGTAAATATCGGGTATGGGTAGATAATTAAAGCTATAGTATCGAAATCGGTGTCAAAACTGAAAAAGCCACATTGGTGCATCACTGCTTATCGCTCAGTACATGACAGATGGAACAATACTTTTTTTTTAACATGGGGACTTTTTCCTTACACTTGTGGGAACATTTGTTTGAGCGAAGTCTGCATCTCGTACGACTGACACTCTGTACACTCAGATCACAAAAAATCCACAGTGAAAAATAACAATAGCGGCGACTCCAAAGCAATCCAGAAACCAATCAATTCTGGTACCAAAAAGTTGTCTTGAGTTGATTTTCTTTTCTTTTTTTAACAATTGGAAATAGACGCAGAACACATTTTCTCTGTGTTAATGAAGGCATTAGTGAATTGTCTCTCAGGTTTCACAAACATGGGAGCGACAGATGGGGGAGAGGCCAGTGCACATGAAAAGAAATAGACAAACGAGTTCATTTAGAGATGTTTTTTGGCGTCTACACCGAGCTAACCTCAATCCAGCTCTTGGGATCTGCATAAATTGAGGGCTTGGGGAGTTGTGGCAGTATCCTCGGTATTATGCATATTAGTTTAAGGCTGTCACTGAGAATCAGCAAGGGTGTCCATCCCGCTGCGGCTAGGAGCTGCTAATTATTGGATCAGAGATAAAGTGCTTTTTAGCGCCGATCTTTCCACGCTTTGAAAACCCACAGCGGCCACAAAAACTGGGCGAAAGGAAAAGCCAAAGCGGGGCAATTTTGGGTTCAGGGAGAGCCAATGGGTCAGGAATCGATCAAGTGGAAAACCTTTGTCTGCTTTGGGCGATTTCAACATAAGAACAGATTTGTCACATCTGCCCGAGTTTCTGGTGTCGAAAGGGAGCGGAATAACAGGATGCTAGCTCTCTCACAGGGGAGCGCGAGGAGGGCTGAGATGGGAGATGTAAGTGAAGAAGGATTGAAATATAGAAAATGGAGCTGCCTCTGCCACACAGCAAGAAGCGCTAATCCCTCTATGGACAAAAAAACAGAGAAGCTGACGGTTCAGCGAGGCCCTGACATGTCACTGGGATCATATATGTCTCTCACATGTCATAAATAACAACCGCCAGTGCCTTTGTTATGAGGGCATTATAGACAACCCAAACCCGCAGAAAGCATGAAATCTTATTACGCTATAGCATCTCATTAGCCTTCCTTCTGCACCGAACAAGCTGCTAGTTTGTGCTCTGCTCCTCAAAATGCACAGACAGACACATGTGGTCCATATGGAGCAGGCAGACGTCTCAGCCTACGCACAAGTCTTTAAAAAACGCTTTCAGATGTATTATTTAGTCCACGTTTACAAACCTGACAAGAAGAGCTGTCCGATTTATAGAGCAGTTTTCTCAGAACCCCCTTTGTTTGGGCGAATTTGTAACACGTGAAAATAGGGAAAGAAGCCGCAAATTGCTGACACACCATCTGATCCTTCATCCACCGGCACTAAGCGAGTTCTGAGAGGAGCGATTTGACACACACACACGCTCACACGAACACGCACGTAAACCACACGCACATCTGCACACACACACACTCACGCCACAAATCCAGGCCCATTGTGCAGAGGTCATTGAACAGACTCAATCCCTCTTCAGGCCTTAACACCACTGACACAATGACTATGGTGAGGTTGGGGTGGACCTCTTTAGGATTAGTCTGTGGGTACAAACTCTTAAGGCAGTCTTTAGCACTTTTAACAGACTTGACAGAAACTGAACCAGACCAGACAGGAAGGGGGTAGAGTTTTGTCTTACCATATTCTCAGATGTACGCCGTTTTCATTCTCTGGCCTGTACCTGCAGAAAATTGCATCTTTTTTAAAATACTTAAATAGATCTGGTCGGCAAGTTAAGTACGTATGGTTACTAGCTTTTTTTTTTTGCTTTTTTTTGTTCATGGATTACAGTTGCAGTGCTGAGAGTTGGCTCAAAAAGCACAGATAAACAAGGTCAGCAGAAAGACATACTACAGAGAGGCAAGCAAACGAACGAGTAGAGAAAGCCCAGAATCAGTAAGTAGTCTAGTCTATAGAATGGACAGACTAATCCCAAAGTAGGTGTAATATGTGGAGAGGGGATGTTAGAGGAGAAAAGGAAAGAGATTTTAAAAAGTGCATGAGATTACTGTAGGTTAGTAATGTGGATGACAGTGTTAGTTTTAGCATCACAGACTGGAAAAGGACTGTGAAGATGGTGCTTACCCGTGGCTGTTTCCTGCATCTTCTCCCTCTTCCGCTTCTTCTTCTTCCCCTAGAAATATAAAAAGGAACGCATAAAGTGTGGCTCCAGCACTCACGCTCACTAGACCACTCAGATAACCAGCTGCTGGCTGCCATGTTCACTCATCCCCTGCTGGGCATCTAACCAGCAACCTCCGGGCACTCCGCACTCCAGCCCAAAATGCCCCGCTGAGGACCAGGCCTGGGACTGCTCTTACATAAGTGGTATAATGGTGCTGGGGTATTTCTCTGCCTCTCTGTTTTTGGAGAGAGCGTCATACACTGAAATGGCTCCGCTGTTGTAACCGGTGTGTCAGATTTCCTCACCACCACTACCACCTTTGAAGTCCCCTTAATGACAAACATTAACATTGAGTGTAATTAAAAATGTTCACTGTAATTAGTCTAGCCTGGCTCAATGGCAGTGAAGAGCCCCACTCCTCTCCAGTGGTGGTGGGAGTGGGTAAGGATTTATAGCTTATGCTAAACCCCCCGGGGGGAGACTATAGGTATAGATAGCAGCGTAGAGTCGTTCTAGTCAAATATGAGCAGCACTTTGGGTTCCTGCTGCAAAGTCTGTTAATCCACTTATTCATGAGCTAATCTGCGTTCTACTGCCGCGGTAGACAGCAAGAGGAGCGACTGGAGTGGGAGAGAGAAAGGAGGAGAGAGGCACCACTATAAACGCTGTGCTCTCTGTGCCAAGGAGCTATTCTAGTGTTTCCAGGCATCGTGCACCGCTGTAGTCACACGGGTTTGTGGGCGGGGTCTGTGGCTCTGTTTACTACATGTTACCGTTTGCCTTTATCTTTACGAGTGCCAAGAGCGGCTTCTTCCTCATCAGATGTGTGCGTAGTGCAAAGCTGAAATGTGAGGAAGCTGGGCGGACTGTCAGAGGCTGTGACAGTGTACAGTGACTTAAAGCTGCACTGTGTAACTTTACTGGTTGGGTCCGTCACCTGCTTGTTTCTATGGATATGTCATTGCTCAGCCTGAAATAACCCACAGTATGACATTAAACAGCTCTATGTTACATTTATTCAATTACAAGTGGCTTTAAAGCTCAAAAACACCTATAAAAAAGGCATTCTGACTGTGAGCGGGGTCGCCTCTCCACAGATCTGACTTATAACTTGGCTTATTTTGATGTCCATGAAGGTAAAAAGGTTTAATACCATACTGTGACTGTAAAACATTCCAGACAAAGCAATAACATTTCCAAGAAGAAAAGCATTTGACATACTCTCCACCAGAAAAGTTACACAATGCACCTTTAAAAACAGCACATCCCTGTAGCGGTCTCCCTTAGCGACGCGCCCGGGCCGGAGTGGAGGAGGCGAAAGGAGGAGGGTGCTGCCAGTGTCCGAGGGGAGCAGATAAACACCACAAAGCACTTGGTGGTGGAGTGAATGTGAGTGCTGGAGCCACACTTTTAACACAGGCGGGTGCTCTCTCTCTCAACATACACAACACATTCTCAACGCTAGGCCTGTCACCATAACGATAAATATTACAGTACTATATGTTATTGAAATAAATACAGATGATAAACGATACAATTGAAACACACAATAACTCAAGAGCAAATTTAAATCACAAAAAGTATTCTAAATCTACATTATTGTTCTTTAAACATGCGCTGTAATAAATAAATAACAGAATGAAACACTATACTAGTTCATTTCCACCTGTAATCAGTCATAGAAGTTATTAATTTAACCTTTTATGGCTTAAATCTTATCATAATGGCTAAAAAATAACCCAGAATTTCCCAGTACTGCACTGCAAAACACCAAAATCTAACCAAGTTAAGATGACTTGAATTTAAAAAGTTTTATCATGATTTAAGTAAATTTCATTTGACAAGTAAAATGATCTGCCAGTGGAACAAGAATTTTTGTACTTAAAATATGAAAATACATCTTGCCACACTTAAATCAGAAATAATATCTGATTTAGCTTGAACTAAGAAAACACTGTAAACCTGAACGTTCAAAGTAATTAAATAGATTAAGTTGTGTATACTCAAAGTTTTAGAAAAAGTCCTACTAACTTAATTATGTCAAGTTGATGTAACATGTTCTTCTTTTTGAGTAATTTTAACTTTTCTTTTTTTTTTTTAAATTAAAGGGAACTATTGTGGGTATAATTGAGCGTAACTCAAAAACATAGATGAGGTACAACTTAGTAGAATTAAGTAATTATACACTGGGAATGATAAAGTCCTGTTATTGCTGTTGTTTCCAATAGGCATGATTTTAAAATAAACTTGTCCCATTGGTAGATAATTTTACTTGTCAAGTTGAATCGACTCAAATAAAGTAAAATGTTCTTAATTTAAGTCATTTTAATGTAGCTAGAAATTGTTTTTTTTGTTTTTTTTCCAGTAGTGCAAAGAAAATATAAACATAATGATTATCGACCCCCAAAAAATACTGTTTTCATACACTGAATGATAAGTCAATATAGTATTTATCGTGACAGGCCTACTCAGCACAGGTTTATAACATAACATACAACAGTTCATCTGAAAGCTGCACTGTGTAACCTTTCAGGAGGGGGTCCTCAACCTGTTTGTCTCCATGGAGATGTTAATGCTTTGGTTTAAATTGTCCACAGTATGGCTTTAATCTAATCTGTCTTACATTTATTCAACTACAGGTGTTATTTATTGCTTAAAAATGTCTTTGGAAACTTCCACTCTTCCTGTGAGTGGGATCGCCTCTCCACAAACCTAACCTGTAATCTGGCTTGCACGTCTCCATGGAGATTCATAAGCTTATGGCTGTACTGTGGAACATTCTAGACACATCTCCATGGAGACAAGCAGGTGATGGACCCACAGCAGAAAAGGTACACTGCGTAAAATTTCTAGTGAAAGGCCCTCCATCTGCTTGTCTCCATGGAAATGTGATTGCTTTGTCTAGAATGTTCCACAGTACAGATTAAACCATCTATCACACTGCAAAAATCAATATCTAGGTAAGTTAAAATGACTTAAATTAAGATCATTTTATTTTATTTGAGTCGATTCAACTTGACAAATAAAATTATCTACCAGTGGAATAAGTGTGTTTTTCTTAATTCAAGCAACATTAGATTTTGTTATTTTGTCTTATTTTTAGTGTAAAAAGTAGTTGCTTTTCTTATCTTAAGTGCAACAAGATGTATTTTCATATTTTAAGTACAAAAAGTCAGATAATTTTACTTGTCAAGTGAAATTTACTCAAATCATGGTCAAACTTTGTCAATTTAAGCGATCTTAACTTGGCTAGATTTTAGTTTTTTGCAGTGCACAAGCAGTTTACAGCAGTACGCTACATTACGATTCAGATCTGTGGAGAACCGTCCCTATTTACAAAAGGAATGATTGTATTTTTGAGCAACAGAATCACCCGTAATGAATAAGCGCGAGATGTACGTGTTTAAAGTCATACCAAAACATTAACATCTCCCTGAAGACAAACAGGTGGCGCGCCCTCCGCCAGAAAAGCTCCACAGTGCACCTTTAAATCCAGCTAAAACTCCCGCATTTACAAACAGAACGGGCAGCTGGGAGAGTAGAGGTGGCCACCGCTACTCATGCATCTACCGATATGGAACATCAAAGACGAGCATAGCATTACCGGGCAATTTTCGCTCACTGCCAATAATAATGTCCATAACACTACAATCCATTTTACTGGGAATAATAGCCAGTGTTATGAATTACACATTAGTCCAAAAACAGAGTGTCTAAAATGGGTCTTATTAGCATGTAGCTCAGGTGGACACAGTGTACCATTATTTTCAGGAATATAAAACAGACATTCACACATTCAGGACGGGCATACACACGCGTCACACACACGCCGGCACCTCCTCAGTCTGTTCTTTTGGTACTTACATAGTTGTCTCGTGCGGACCAGCCTGGGTACAGTTGCATGTGGAGCTGCCGTTCCTTGCGGGCTAACTCATAATATTTAGCTTGCTCTTCCCGAGATAAAGCATGCCACTGTGTCAGTATATGGAGGGAGAAATGGCATAAGGTCAATTGCAGTCATGTATAGTTTAATTAGAGAAGTGTGCTGCTGTTTGTGTTTTGTTTAAAGGGCATATATTGCGCGAATTTTGACTCTTTGTGAGCTTTAAGCCGTGTTATATGTTTTACTTCCTCAAAAACATACTTGGGAGTTGTGTTCTGTTTCATTCACACATGTTTGAGTAAATTTTTGTTATTAATCTGTCATTTCCGAAGCTCAAAATGCTCTGTTCAACCTTCATGATTAGGGGAGTGCAAAAATATCAAAATATTAAAATATCAATATATCGTATTGTTTAATGTATTGATACAGTATTGATATCGTGGGCTGCTGTATCGATATATCACCAGGAGTATTTTTTGGTAAATTTTACTCAATTATTTTGTTACAGAGCTACAGTTTTGTTGTTTAACTTGACATTTTCACTGTTTTGATGATTAAAATGTTGGTGTTTCAAATGAATTTTTGCACAAGAAGTGGTTTAACAAAGATTTTTAGTATCATAGACTTGATTTAGCCTTTATTTTTTATTGAACAGTACCGAATCGATTTGAAATATATCGTATCGAATCGAAAGTGCATTGTATTGAGGTATGTATCGTATCGGCAACATCTTAATGATACCCAACTCTGGTCATGACGTGGTAGTTTAAGTTAACACCTGCATTTTACAATTAGTTTAGGAAGATTGGCAATTCCAGGGTTGAAAATATCCAAATGATTCTAGTAAAGGTGTGTGGAGTAGGGATGTATCGATATCCAAGTCTCATGATACGATATTGTCACGATATCAACCTCACGGTATGATATTTAGTACGATATTTATTGCAATATCTTGTGAAAACTCATGCTATGGTGGAGAGGCTCACGATTAGGAATGTAACAATATCCAATAATATATTTGACAAGACTTAATCCAAAGAACTAAAACTTAAAAGTGCTTAGAACTGTTATTTCTTCATGTAGTTTTCACTGAAATGGAACAAAGGATCATGGTCTATGTAGTTCCCTTTATATTTTTTTTAGCTATTGCTGCACCATAACTCTTAATTTAAGCAAAGAGACTTGTAGTTCGATATATTGTGATGGTCCACGATATTATTGTGAGAACTTTGACGATACGATATCACGATATTTTGGTTATTATTACATCCCTCGTATGGAGTTTAAAAACACAGTGGAGCACTTCCTGTATTGCCACATGATCACAAAGTGGAACAGAGTTGTTTTTTTTTGTTTGTTTGAGAGAAGAACTCATTGGAAATATGCAGGATTTGTTTGTTAAACATGTGTGAATGAAAAAAAACAACAACTCCAGATACATTTGTGATGAGAAAACATTACAACTTAGATTAAAAAATAGCGTAATATGGGCCCTTTAAGATGGGAAAAGATCTAACTTCCTAGCTTTCAGTAAAAAGAAAAAAAACAAAAAAAACGTGGGGAGCAGGATGAAAGCGAAACAAAGATGGGGGGGAAACATGATGAAGAGATTAGCAAGTACAAGAAAGGGAGAGAAAGAGAGAGGGAGCGAGGAAAAACTTTGATTTCATATCAAAACACTGGTTCCAATTTAGCCGTTCCTTTTATTCAAACTATGTCAGCGAGCAATTACTCTATGCAGGCCACAAACTACGCTTTGCTGTGGCTGGCTGCCTCAAACCGCCTGCTCGGTTCGTTAGGGCTTTTAAACATGGCTCTGTGGTTCCACTCTTTCCCCAATCCTCAAAAGGAACAAATTTTGTCATTTCCAACCGTGCCATTATCCAGGCATGTTTTATTAAAGCCAATTTGATTAAGTGTCAGTTAGCTATGCAGTCTGTATCTGTGTTACTGCATGAGAACTAATTGGCTGGAGTCATCAGTAAGCTCATAATCACAAGTTGTTCAGAGAAGGGAGTATGTTAATAAGGAGAGTGATCCTGTGTACTTTCTTATCTAATTGGACTCGGAAAGGTGGCCTATCCCAAAGTGTGTGTGTGTGTGTGTTGTGTTTTGATTTCTGATGCCTGTTTTGATGCCGTGACCTACCCTTCGTCCTAAGATCTGATTGATGGCGGCGCTTTCTTTTAGCGTGCATTCAGCCACCACGTTGGCGCGCATTTCTTTCATGTAGAGCATGAAGGCGTTTAGAGGCTTCTTGATGTGCGGTCTTTTGGGCTCCTGCTCCTTTCTCTGGTCATGCTGAGATTTCCTGCACATGAAAAGACAGAGCAGAGCCAGATGAGTTTTAACACAATCCAATCCAACTTTATTTGCACATTTTAGTAACACAAAATCTCCAAAGTGCTGCACAGAGTAGACACAATACAAATTAACACATCAAATAAAATCAAGCATAAAAAATAAATAAGCAAGTCAATAAAAACACTTACAAAATATTAAAATTTGCCATCTTTTATCAATTTGATTTTCTATTTTTCTATGGCAGAGGACCAAGGTGCATTGTGTAACTTTTCAGGTGGAGGGTCATCTGCTTTTCTCCATGGAGATGTTATTACTATGTCTGGAATGTTTCACAGTATGGCATTAAACCTTTCCATCATTAGAGACCAAAGTAGACTAAGGCTACATTCAGACTGCAGGACTTAATGCTCAAGTTGGATTTTTTTTGAGAGGTCGTTCACATTTCCAATTGAATGTGACTTGTATGTGATCTCTAGCACGAACTTTAAATGCCCCAAAAGTGTCCCGCATGAGCATTGGAGGACACAACGACGTCACATGCAGCGAGCGTGCTCAGTGTTTACGGAAGTCGCCTAAACTCTGGGCTTGTCTCCCAAAATACGGTCCAGTTCTTCGTAAAATGGACAGGTTACACTTCCACGGCCGCTTTGTTTGTTTGACTCTTTAGCCTCCTTGTATTTGGCTCACAGGCTTTTTATTTTTCATGGACATTAGAGCCAGGACCGCCTGTAGCCGCGCTCGATGACAGTCACTTCAAAAAACCACCTGGTTCCGATAAGACCCCTCCAATTTGGCCTGAATACAGCGGAACCCCCCAAATATTAATAAACTCGCTAGCCTCGCTTTCCCTCCACGGACTAGACTCAGAGCCTGATGTTGTAGGTGGGATGAATGCGACCTGGCCGTTCAGACTGAAGTCACGTGTCAAAAGATCAGATATGTATCGGTTTTAGGAGCACATATCCAAGTGGCCTGGGTCACATTTTTAAAAATCAGATCTATGTCGTTCAGACTGTCATTAAAAGATCAGATACAGGTCACATAGGGGTGAAAAAAATCAGATTTGGGTCACTTCAGGTTGCAGTCTGAACATAGCCTAAGTTACAGGTCAGATCTGTGGTGAGGCAGCCCTGCTCACAGTCAGAATGCTTGTTTTTCTTGGTACTTTTGAGCCATAAAGCCACCTATAATTTAATAAATGTAAAGTAGAGCTGTTTAATGTCATACTATGAAACATTCCAAGCAGAGGACTGACATATCAATAGAAACAAGAAGGTGACCAACCCCCCAACTGAAACATTACACAGTGCACCTTTAAAAGCATCAGTGGAAGGGGACAGGCTTAGTGTGAGGGGGGGGGGGGAAGCGTTCCAAAAGTTTGGGGCCGACCACAGAAAAGGCCAGATCTTTTTCGAGTTTCGTTTTTGGGATGACAAGTTGGAGCTGGCCCTCAGACCTCAGAGGATGAAACGAATGAGAAAATGGGCAAAAGAGCGAGGGGAAAAACTGCGGAGTCGTGATGGCGACACACACACACACGGGGGTCTGGTAGCTGTTGGCCAATCGTGCGGCAGCGTGAGAGGGATTGCCACGATATGGGCTCAGGTCCCAACTCTTTAATCATGTGCAGTTGTTCAGTCATGTGGAGAGATTACTTCACCAGTAATGGCAACCAAACCTTCACCTCTGCAGTATTTTCTAGAATCACTGTTGGTCAGGCTGGAATGTGTTGTTTAAAGGTGCATTGTGTAACTTTTCTGGTGGAGGGTCTCTCAAATCCTTCTCTCCATGGAGATGTGGTTTCTTTGTCTGGAAAGTTTCACAGTATTGTATTAAACCTTTCTATCTGCATGCAAGTTACAGGTTAGATCTGTGGAGAGGCAAGTAAAACCACCTGTAATTGAATAAATGTGAGGTAAACCTGTTCAATGTCATACTGTGGAACATTCCAGGCAGAGCAATGACATCTCCATAGAGACAACCAGAAAAGTTACACAATGTAGAGCTGCTCGATTATGGAAAAAATCATTATCACGATTATTTTGGTCAATATTGAAATCATGATTATTCAAACGATTATTTTTTAGCTACACGATGCATTAATTCAGCATTTCTCTCTCTCAAAAAAACACTTTGTTATTGATAATTTATGCAAAACTTTCAATTTTTAAATAAATACAGACTAATAAAGATGTGCCTTTGAGCAGTTTTGTGATGTATCAAACATAAAATAAATAAAATATACTTCGAACATGAAATAAGGCATAGAAAAACATAAATGTATCCAAAATAAGTTATATATATTCAGCTGTTTTACAATCTCTAAATCAGGGGTCTCCAACTCGCCACCCCATTCCAAGACGCTCCCTAAAAACTGTAGGAGTTAAACATATTACACTGAATAATTTAGTAAATGTCTAATATTGTGCACAGATAGAGTGATTTATGGTTTATGTTTATAGACATCCAAATACACCCCATCTAAAGGAAGTTATATCAGCCCAATTTCGTGCAACATCTAAAAGGAGTAGCTCTCTGCCACTTAGGGTTTTTAGAAGTAGCTCACTGGGGGTAAAAGGTTGGAGACCCCCGCTCTGTGTTTAAAAAAATTAAATAATATACTTACTTATATAAAAAATATCCCAAAATAAACTTTGTTAAGCTTTAAACGGTTTCAACTCGATTATATGAGTTTGGAAATCGACACACGAAATCAAAATCGAGATCAAAATTCGATTCATTGCACATCCTTGACACAATGCACCTTTAACGCCAGAAACTTGGTATGGTTTGGTCTCCATGAAAAAAGAAAAGCTTAATGCTAAACTGTGAAACATTCCAGATAAAGCAACAACATCTCCATGGAAAAAAGCATTTGACGAACGCTGCACCAGAAAACTTGCACAATGCTCCTTTAAACAACATTTGTCAATCATAGTTTTGGTGATTTCTTTAAAAAAAACTGTAAATATCCACTGAAGTTATGTAGGTCTCTGCTCTCCATCTAAAATTATAACATCATCAAATTCTACACAACTGATTCCTCTGAGCTACGCCATCGCACTTCTAACCTACTTTCTAATAACTTGTGTAATAGGAACAGTGTTGATGTGTGGACGGGACATGAATTGAAATCAGAGATAGCCACTTTGGGTTTCTCCGTACACGTACTTGAAGATATTTGCTCATCCTTGGCTAATCTACAGCGTCGATCTGGTGCTGGGTAAGTGTGCAGTGCTCCCGGAGGCCAAATGAGGCAGGGCCCTTATCAGTGCAATGTGGGCTCTTGCTGCTTATCTCCTGAATCAAAGAGCTGAGAACAGGCCTCCAACAGAGCTACAGAGTCTGTACGACCGTGACCAACTAGTGGTCAAATAACAGCACTGCACTTTTTTTGTTTTCCTTCGCCATTTATATTCTCTGTATCAGACATGTCAAACTCAGGCACGGGAGCCAAATTTGGTCCGCGATAAAATAATATTTGGCCCATCATACGGCCCATATCAAATACTACGAATCCCAGAAGGCTTTGCAAATAAGTTGGTGTATTTTAACTGGTTGCTGATGTGTAAAAAAAAAAAAAAAAAAACATTTAAAAAGAGTTCAAAAGCTACAGATAGGCTATAGAGACATTATTTATTTAAAATTGTGTTGTTGTTGTTGTATATTATGCTTGTTCTGGATTCAATTTTTAAGCAAAACTGTTATTATTAAACATTTATTATAATAAGAAAAGATTTAACATTGCATATCTCGAAAGAAGAGAAAACATGCAGATGCTGGTGAAATTTTTCAATAAATATTTAGTTTGGCCCATGACTTAGTCCCAGTTTTTAATTTTAGCCCTCTGTGGTTTTGAGTTTGACACCCCTGCTCTATATCTTCTTTTTTTGTGTATGAAACTACACAAATGTCACACACACACACACACACACACACAAACACAAACTTGTCACATACACTTGTAAAAACTGTAGCTGTCACATAAAAAAATGGAATGTTATGTCAAGTTAAATTTCTTATTTTACTTATCTGAGCAGATCTGACAAAACTTTACAAAGACAGCTGTGGTTGGGTCATCTCAAGTTTAGACTTTTTCCACGCTCTACGGTCAGGTTCTAGTCCCTTCTGGATTCTGGTCTGGGAATCCCATTACCTCTTGTCAAAACGGTATATGACTGGTCACTAGGGATGTAACGATATCCAGATCTCACAGTACGATATTTATTGCGATATTTTGAAGACTTTTTTGCTTTTAAAATACCTTGAAAAGATTTTGGTGTGAATTATTTCCATCATAATCCCAAGAATTCAAGTAAAAAACATATCTCTTCATGTTGTTTGCTCTGAAATGAATCATGGGATATGTAGTTCCCTATGTTTATTAGCTGTTACTACTATAAAACCATGCATTTAAGCAAAGGAACTTGTAATTCGATATATTGTGACAGTCCACAATATTATTGTGACTTTTGACAATACAATATCACAGTATTTCGATTATTGTTACATCCCTACAGGTCATTAAACTAAAAACAACCACAACAACAAACCCTGGGATACAGCTGTGAAGAGGCTGGACTTACATGTGCATGAGGTCTGTTTCGTGGGGCGGCTCGTGTTTAATCTGTGGGTTGACGATGGCCGGGTGGGGGATCCCTGTCGCCTGAGGACCAGGGGGGCCGGGGACCATGTGGTGAGAAAACCTGGAAACAACAGGAGACGACACAAGCTTTGATTAGATACCAAGAAATCAGTTATCAGCACTTTGGCTTGAGAAATGAGCAGAAATTACAAGTTATATTGGGCGTATATTGTCCAAAATCAAAATAAAAAGAGTTGTAAAAGCTGTAAAAAGTAATTATAAATAAGAACTGAAATGTTATAATCAAAAACTAAACCAGGACTTGCTTAACTTTTTAAGTCATTGTCAATTTTTATTTCATTTTCTGACTAGAATATACGGTGATATTTCTACATTTCAGTGTTTAATTTTACTGTTCATTCACATGATTCAAACAATTTAACCAAAACACGCTACTTTTTTTCAGTTTTTGCACATTTTTGATCAATTGCACAAATATTATCTTATTTCTGCTACAAAAAGATGAAAATATGGCAAGATGTTTGTCAAAATTGCCTATACTTGTACCTACAGAGACACAATCTACATCCACTCGAATTGAAGATGTAGATAAGTTAATATGGAAATTGTACCATGTTTAAAACCAGTAAAAAAAAAAAAAAATCTTGTGTATAAAAATAAGGTTACTATGGTATCCAGCTGTGTCGTCTGAATCCCATTTGATCAGCGTCTTTCCTGTAAAAACGTTGTCGGAAACAAGACCACATCAAAATGACATCCTAAAACACTTTAAAAGCCCAAATGAAGTGTGTTTATACAGATGTGAAGCCTTCCGCTGTTTTTTTTACACTTCAGCTCATTATGCCAGGCTCTGATCAATGGAGGGGTTATGGTGGCTCTGTTTGTAATTCTCTATAAGGAACTGATAGAAAATATAGTGGAAATTGAAATGTCATTATATACCCTTTAAGTCTTTACTACTTTCCTGTCATCAGTCCATCAGTGGCTCTGCTCTCCATTCTGCTCCACTTATTATGTTTGTTTAAATAGGCACCTCATCAGACTGTGGCTTTGGGTTTCCATACACTGGCTGGTGCTATTCTCTAACTTTCTTGGATGAGTGTTTCATATGAACCCAACTGATGAAAAATCTACTCTACAAAGACTAAATATTGTGATGAAGATTATATGTGGTTTACATATATGACAGCAGGTGATCGAGCGCAGTGTATGCCTACAGTTCTGTGTTAAAAACATCACAGAAAAGAGCTGGAAAAGTAGAAAGGAAGGGGAGAGGAGCCGCCATGTTGCGAGGAGACACAAAAGACAACATTTGACTTCGGGAACAGGTCCAACAGAAAGAGGCTACAGTAAAACATCTCTACACACACAGAGCGGTTGAACGGAGAAGTGCTTCCAGAGAGCTTTGATGGGGTTAAGCACCAGATGCTTATGCAGGGGCACGTATGCTGTGATGTGTTTGACATGTGCTGGGCACACAGAGGCTGTGTGGGCCCCTCTACACTCACACCAGCAGGGGGCAGTGTGGAACTCACCAGCCCAGAGGAGGTGTGATCTGACCCACTCCTCCAGGAGACAGGGAGTAGAAGTTTGGCATGTCTGGTCCTGGGTGATGCCTGGGCATTCCTGCCAACACACAACAACATGGTTATAGAGCTGCTCAAAAGGGAAGCATGAAACATAACATTAAAGAGACATAAAACATTCATCAGAGAGACTGATTGGACGGATAAAATTCTCTTTAATGTGTATTATATATTATTATATAAAATAATGACGCAAAAGAACTGGTTAAAAGCATAAAAGTTCAAATCTAATCACAGATGAACACTTTGAAAACAGCTACATGCTGTGATCACAGACATCAATGGGCCTGTTGTTTTAGTTTAATGTTCTGTATACAGCACCATTTACAGACTGTATCGATTTATACAGAGCATTTAAAGTCAGTCAAGTGGATTCAAGTTGTATCTTGGATCTTGAGTCAAGATAAACTTTTCTACTTTTCTACTTTCTTTTGAACAGAAGGCAGCAGTTCCACACAGAGCTACAGAGTTGCCTTCTGCCTAATTCACTGTACAGTATAAACTCATCACATCAACATCAACACATCATGTGATACTGCTTTGACCTTTGACCTCCACTAAAATAGGTTCTTCATCTTTCTGCCACAGCAGATACTTCTCACACTTTTAAGTTCCTTTGGAGGCTGTTTCTTTGTGACAGAGACTGTCCCTCTAGACCAGGGATTGACTTGGACTTGGAAGTGTCGATAGATGCTTGACACTAAGCTCCATCTTTTGGGTTTGAAGGTCAGGCCATCAGTATTAAAATACCTCAGATGTGGGACAGGTTCCAAAATATCTTGTCTTCTTTTGTCATTTTTATTCAATAAGCAGTTCTATAATGATGTAAGGTTTACCGATATCCACAAATACACCGGATTTGGGACTATCTTTTAGCGTGCGCTCTCAATCACATGCACAAAGCAAACAGGGCAAATGCCTCCAGATTAGCCCCATGGTCTAATCCCTGTTGGAGCCAGCCTCTGTATCGCTCCTCTGCCTCTCTTCTCTCCGGGCTCTGGTCTAAAGGGCCTCCCTCCTCTGAGAGCCAGGCCGTGCAGGGGGCTTATATCTCAAAAGCCAGTGTTGCAACGTAGGATTCACAGCGTAGCGCGCTACCCCCTGCCCACTAATCCACCAGCGCACTCTTTAGGGCCCTCCTGGGGGCACGAGGGAAGGGGGCGAAGGGTGAGACGGTGAAGGGTGAGGAGAGGACCAGCGTGTTAACCGTGTCACTCAAAACCCTGAGGTGCCCAATTATGCACTCCCTCAATTTGCATGTTCCCGTTGGCATAAAACATCTACTCTCAAACACTCTGCATTTAAAGGCTCCATATTACGCCATTTTCTGATCTATGTTATAATGTTTCCTCATCATATACACACCCGGAGTTATGTTTTGTTTCATTCACACATGTTTAACTTCCTTTTTTCTTCTTTTTAAATGCCATACACCTCGACTAAAATCATATGGATCATTTCAGCCCTGGAATTGCTGATCTCTATTGCGTCTTTGTGACATATGTCTGCGAAAAGCGCTATATAAATGAAAAAAATGCACTTACTTACTTACTGAACTAAAGGTAAAGGTCGCTGTTAACTTAAAAACTAACATTACATGGCATCAAAAGGTGGAGCAGAGCATGTTGAGCTTTGGAGATGTAGGCAGACTAATAATAAAGAGTTGCTCAAACATGTGTGAATGAAACAAAACAAAAGTTCAGGTAGGTTTATGGGGAAGTGACATGTTTTAGCACGGCTTAAAGCTCACAAGAATCAATTTTGTGTAATGTAGGCCCTTTACAACTCGAGAATAAAACAAAAACTACAAACAAATCACTGCACTTCACCGCAAATTAAAAAATACAATATAAAGTTCATTGTGTAAAATATGCAAGGACCCCCTGCCTGACCTTCTGCGGTGTGTTGCGGCCCTGTGCATATTAGAGCTCCTAATGAGAAAATCCATGATTATTTTTCATAATTAGCGAGAAGATCAAAGTCTGAGCCCGCTAAGAGAGGGAGAGCCGCCATTGGTCGATACCAGAGAGCGAGAGAGCAGGAGAGAGAAAGAGGGGGATGGAGAGAGAGAGAGGGGAGGGAGAAAGAGAGGGAGAGCAAGAAAAGGAATAAGTGAGATTTGGTTTTAAGCATCTTCAGCTTAACTCTGCTCGGCTGTACACATAGGAACATGCCTGGGGAAATCATTTACACTTAATTCTGCTACCGGATCGTTTGGACATGGATTTCACTGGGCCGCCGGTGCATAGCTCTGATGTAGTGAGACAAAAACACCACTAGGGGCGCTCCATGGTCAGAAAACATTCAGTCGATTTTGCATTATTGTACCATTACAAACTAAAAATTGGATATATTTACGCTGATAATTCCTACAGTATAACTCGAAATCATCTGATATCACCTCAAAGCCTCAAAGAGCTGTGTTTGTTTAAACCCAACGCTAATCTTAAGTCCAGCGGAGGGCGCTATGACTGCATCTGCAAGCGCATTGAAAAGTAGTTTGTATGAAGCTGATAGTGTAAAAAATAGAGATCGAGATAGAGATGTTTTGTTTTGTTTTTTTTCATGCCGATGCTGCTTTGTCAAAATTTCTGCTGATATTTTGGGTCGATTTTGATTATTTTCCCCCAAATTTTGTAATTTAAATTTACTACAAACTCCACCAAGCCCCTTTTGTTTAACCACAAACCTTTAAAAGAGCTGTGTAGTCACATTTTGTGCAGTTATCTCTTCGTATTAAAGTGTTAATATAAAACTGTGTGCATATTTTTTAGACTGCAGATCGACCAAAACAAAAAAATCGACCTGTGTTGGAGATTAAGCACCAATACGTTAAAAAGTCAAAATATCATCACGCTATATCGGCCAAGCTATATATCATCTGTCTCTAGTAAAAATAATAATAATAATAGGCTTATATAGTGGTTTTTGGACACTCAAAGAAGCTAATTACAACTATTCGGTTGAGTCAAGCCGAGATGTGTTTTTGTTACAATAGAAAACAACATTATAACATGATTTAAAGCCAAAACTCCTTGTCCTCACTGTCCCCCTTTCAATAACGCCATGATTAAAGACTAACAAATAACCTGTGTCAATGTAAAGTACTAATTAGTGGGCTATACCTTGTCATTTGTACTACACGACAAACAAGTCCACAATTTAGGTTTAAGCCGTGCTGCACAAGGCTTTCACTGGAGAAACAACCGTCTTGAAATCTCTTTTACGTTTGATTTTCCTTGACATATATGGAGCAGTTTCTTCACATGCACCGCTCCCTTCATCTGACGGGCCATGTGCTCTGACGCTCTGTTCCCCAACGTTATTTATATCTGCTCCAGCCTCGTCTTCATCATCTTCAGCGTGCCTCTGCGAACCTTCAGATGCGTCTTCTTTTTTTTTTTTTTTGACTTTGGAGAAGAAAGAGGAGAGGAAGACGCAGGACGGAAGCACAAAGGAGCACAAAGGGCCCAGGTCTGTTCAGCGCTAGTTGCAGAAAGATCTCCAGCTGTGAAGCCCATCCTCAAGCCTCTCGCTGCGGCTGTCAGGGCAAGGCAGCGAGGAGAAGTAACTGAATACATGGACCGAGAATATACGTGTTCTGAATGCTAATTTAGAGTAACTGCGCTGCAAAAACAACATCTACTTAAATTAAAACGACTTAAATTAAGAGCATTTTACTTTAAGTGTAGCACGATGTATTGTCATATTTTTTTCTCGTGGAGGCTCCGTCAAATGCTTTTCTCCATGGAGATGTTATTGCTTTCTCTGGAATGTTTCACAGTGTGGCTTTAGACCTTCATGAAGACCAAATAAGCCAAGTTACAGGTCAGATCTGTGGAGAGGGGACCACGCTCACAGTCAGAACTCCTCCTCCTCAGCCTGTTTTTCGAGGTATTTTTGAGCAGTAAAAACATCTGTAATTGAATAAGTGTAAAGTAGAGCTGTTTAAAGTCATACTGTGGAACATTCTAGGCAGAGAAATAACATATCCGTCAAAATAAGCAGGTGATCGACCCCCAAATAAAAAGTTACAAAGTGCAACTTTAAGCACAAAAAGTCTTGTTCTATTGAAACATCAAATTTGCTCAAATCATGATAAAATGTTCTTATTTCAAGTCATCTTAACTTGGCTAGATTTTAGTTTTTGCAGTGTGTATTCTGGTACAGTTACTTTTTAATTTGGTGGTATTCAGAATATTATTACTTTTCTAAAATTAAACAAATACTTGATCACATAATTTAGGCTTCAAACTGCACAGAATTAGCGAGAAAAATGTAAAACACCTCTCTTGCAAGTGTGATTTTTCCTTCTCTGATCAGTGATAAACAAATGCTGAGCTGCTTTAATACTATTTTACATTTTTACACAATAATTTAAATGTAATTCTGCCTAAAAGTATTCAGAACACAGTACTCTGATCGGACCATGTATCAGAATATGTTACAAAATACATTTTAATGCGGCTATTCAGTATTCTGCAACTAAAAACATTTTCAAAGTATTCTTCCCATCACTGGAGCAGGGCTGGATGCTGTTAGAGATGAATGCACAGAGAAGAAGAAGAGGGCATTTCAGCTAAACGCAGCGTCCCAAAGGTGGCTTCAAATGAGTTCAGGCGCAGAGCAGAGAGAGATCGAGGGAGACACAGAAACACACTCTTGTTTTTGAAAGTAACAGTGCGGCAAAAAGCGATGGAGCCTATGCCCGGCTAACTGTACGATCAAGATAATACTTAAACAGGAATTGGACTATGGAGTTAAAGGTCCTATATTATGGAAAATTTACTGTTGTGAGCTTTTAGTCATGTTATAACGCTGTTAACTCACCAAAAACAAACCTGGAGTTGTGTTTTGTTTCATTCACACACGTTTGAGTAACGCTTTATTATTACTCTGTTTAAATCTTTACAGCAACCTTTTGTTTTTGTTTTGTAAAGATGGGCAATTCCATGGTTGAAATCATCCAAATGATTCTAGTGAAGGAGTTTAAAAACACAGTGGAGACCTTCTTGTATCACCACATGACATCACAAGGTGGAACAGAGCGGTTTTGTTTGAGAGAAGAACTAAAAAGAACCTAAATCTGCAGGGTTTGTGTGTTAAACATGTGTGAATGAAACAAAACACAACTCCAGGTCTGTTTTTGATGAAGTGAAGACACAATATTATAAAGTAGATCAGAAAATAGTGTAATATTGACAATTTAATTCTGATTTAAAATGGCTGATAATGGTCATAATCATTTGACAAAACTGTAGGAAGAATTAAAAATAGAGGAAAAAAAATGTGATTCTGCAAGTTTTCAGAATCTGTGTATCATTCGTTGATTCCTTTTTCAATATAAAACCAAAAATAAGAAAATGAAAAAGCAACAGTTTTCTTCATTATTTGTCTGCAAAACAAAAAAGGAAAAAAATGGATAACGTTTGGTATTTTCAGTTTTCGATTTTGTGTTTAAACGAATAAGGGAAAAAACAGATAACGGCCGATTTCCGTTTACGTGACTTAAACTGTGATACTGGACTAAACCAGGACTAAACCGTTTTCAGTCCTGGTCTGGTCATGGTCTCAGTCCCGGTCTCAATCACGGTCTGGTCCTGGTCTGGTCCCGGCCTCAGTCCTGGTCTCAGTCCTGGTCTGTTCCAGGTCCCAGTCCCGGTCTTAGTTCTGGTCCTGTTCCCGGTATCAGTCCTGGTCTCACTCCTGGTCCTGGTCCCGGTCTCAGTCCTGGTCTCCATCCTTGTCTGGTTCCGGTCTGGTCACTCAAACCTGGTTCAGTCCTGGTTCAGTCCAGTATCACAGTTTAAGTCACGTAGACGCAAACAGTCGTTTACTGTTTTTTCCATTCTTCATTTAAACACAAAATCGAAAACTGAAAAAATGAACCTTTATCCTTTTTTTTTATTTTGGTTTTGGAGACAAATAATGAAGAACAGTTGTTTTATCATTTTCTTATTTTTGGTTTTTATATTGAAAAACGAATGAACGAACGATACACAGATTTTTCACTTTCAACTTTTCAAATTCTGTGACCATAAATCTCCTTTGTTTATTTTATTTGTTTATACATTTGTTTGTACCTTTGTTGTTGTCTTGATGGTGTCCAGAATGGGGCCCTGGTGCGAAGTGCTCATCGCTGTAAGTGATCAGAGGTGTGAGGGGGTGGACTGCATGGGACGGCTGCACCACTGGGACTTTGTTGGACTGTGGAGAGAAAAAAAAACAAAAAAACATTGACATTTAGTATGAGATCAGCTAATTTTGAAGTTCGATATATGGCCGAAGTAAATACAGACGATAAAAGATGATACTGAATTTATACCACTGCCTCAAAAACCCAAGAGCCGAGTTTAAAAAAGCCACAAAAACTATTCTAAATCTACAATATTGTTAAAAAATTATGACTTTCTGAGCACCTGAGAGAGTGGCAGCTGGACACAGTAGCTCCTGAAGTATTACTTTATATTTTGATTACTTTATTTATATTCACCTGTACATGTGCCTTTATATAATTATGTTTTATTTGACACTAGTCTCTTGCTATTTTTGCTTTTTGTTATTATATTATATTGTGATACGTGAGCTACTGTGTCCAAATAATTTCCCTTGTGGATCTATCAAGTTTGTTTAAGTATAATAAGTCTAATTTACGCCACTGACACAATGGCCAAAAAGCAGATTTGAACCACAAAATCTATTCTAAAGCTACAATATTGTTAAAATATCATAGGCTGCAATAAATAAAGAGCAGAACGAAAGACTTTAGCTCTTAGTTTGCATCTGTAACGAGTTGTAGAAGGTATTAATTCAACCTTTTAGTTTCTTTTGGTATTTTATATTTTTGCTCCACCGAAACAGCGTGTTACATTAGAGTCTATTTTTAAGTCTATTTTTAAATCATTTTTAAGCCATTATCTATTATCTTGTTTGATTGCATGTTACCATTTTCCTGCTGTTCTTGAATTGTGCGTTGCAACACTGGAATTTCCCCACAGTGGGACGAATAAAGGCATATTATCTTACAGTATCTTTTACGGCTTAAATGTTAAATAGTTACAATTTTATACAACGCTTTTTCCACGTTTAAGACAATCGAAGCGCTTTACGTCAAGGAACCACCCACACATTCACACGTCGGTGTACACAAACACCGAGGCGAGTTGGGTTAAGTGTCTTGCCCGAGGACACAACAACAGCATTCATCTGCGGGTCAGTGGATTTGACTCGATTTGCTCAAGTAATGACGTTGACGGGATTTAAACTCGGATCGGTGGACAAAAACATCTTATATCTTTTCATAAACTCAAAAAACTGCAAAGAAAATCTGCAAATGATAAATATTGAGCCCCAAAAATAAATTGTTCCAACTTTCATTTACTGAACGTTGAGTTGTTGCAGTGATTGTCGTGACGGGGCGAGTTTCAGCTCCTCTGGTCTTTGTGCAGCGTGGCTCGGTGCCCTGTCACATGTGGTGGGGACAGGTGCCACTGTACGGGTGGTCTCATGTGAAAGTCTTGGTTGTGTAAAGATTTACCCTCGTACGGTCATAAGATAAAACACCCGTCTCTTGCCATTTGCGCTACTTATTTTGGATTTATTATTGACATTTATATTTTATTTTTACTCTTTGTTGTTATATTATGTTGTGATGTGTGAGCGACTGTGTCCAAATCATTTCCCTTGTGGATCAATAAAGTCGAAGTTTAAAACAATGAACAGGTGAATTTTATGTTTTTAAAGCCTGAGAAGTTTGATTATTTTGGATCAACGTAAATGGAAATCTGTCGTTCAAAAAAACAAAAAGAGATGAAAAAAAAAAATACATGAAATACACTCGCACACAGCAACAGGAGAGAGAGAGAGAGAGAGAAAGAAATAAAGAAAGACAAAAGGGAGAGAGGGAGGAATAGAGGAGATAGGGAGAGAGAGACAAAAAGAGAGAATAAGAAAAAGAAAGAGAGAAGGAGAGAGAAACAACGAAAGGGAGAAAAATAGAAAGAAAGAAAGAAAGAAAGAGGAAGGGAGAGAAGGAGAGAGAGACAAAGAGGGAGAAAAAGAGAAAGAGAGAGAGAAAGAGGGAGAGAGAGAGGGAGAAAGAGAAAGAAAGAAAGACAGAAAGAGGGAGGAAGGGAGGGACAGGGGAGATAGGGAGAGAGAAAACAGAGACAAAGTGAGGGAGAAAAAGAGAGAGAGAAAGAAAAAAGAAAGAGAGAGAGAAAGAGGGAGAGCGGGAGGGAGAGGGGAGCTAGGGGAGAGAGAGACAAAGAGAGAGAAAGAAAGAAGGAAAGGAGGCAGAGGAGAGATAGGGAGAGAGAGAGAAACAGAGGAGAGAGAGAGACAGAGACAAAGAGAGGGAGAAACAGAGAGAGAGAGCGAAAGAAAAAAGAAAGAGAAAGAAAGAAAGGCAGAGTGAGAAACAGACAGACAAAGAGAGGGAGAAACAGAGAGAGAGAGAAAGAAAAAAGAAAAGAAAGAAAGAAAGAGGGAGAGAGAAAGAAAGAGAGCAAGAGAGGGAGGGAAAGAGAGAAGGAGAGAGAGAGACTGGCGGGCAGAGCAGAGCAGAGCGGAGCGGAGCAGAGGTCTAAAGCGTGAGATCAAAGGCAGTCATTAGCTGGTGAATAAGGGGAGTTCATTACAGAGCAAGAGTCGGGGGAAGGAGAGATGAGGGATGGAGGAGGAGGAGGAGGGGTAGAAGAGGAGGAGGAGGGGTGGAAGAGGAGGAAGAGGAGGAGGAGGAGGGGTGGCTCTGGACTTATACTGAGACAGAAGTCTGCAGCACTTCTTAATGCACAACTCTTCACCCTCAACACGACGACTCAGACCCAAACAGACACTTACACACATTTTCTTTAAAACATCTCCAACAAAAAGCTCCTTAAACTAAAGATACAGCTAAACAATTACATTTATTCCCACAATCTACTGCATTTTTTTTCTCTTACACTTACGAGTTTCTAACAAACTCGAGCCTCAAATGCAACAACTAAAAGGACTAACTGTATTTTGATGTTGTGTATTATTCGTATTTTCTTTTCCTCACGTATCAATTATTTTGTATTGTTGCATTTTGAAATAATAAAACTAAATACATAAATAAATACACAAAAAACTGACTCAGACCTGCTCCCATAAAATCCCAAACGGACTCAAAGCAGTGACTGTACACCGGTTAATCCTCACATACATACTTCACACGTGTGGTTTCGCTTAGACATGCTGAAATCTACTATTTACAACGTGCAGAGATGTTTTTTGCAGTCTCGTCTCTACACTGAACCTCTCCTCACCTGCAAAGCTCAATGGCACATGTCTCACAAAAGGCCTGTCACAATCACAAAACAAATTCTCTGATGAAAAACCAAAAAATACAGAATACACAAATCATTAAAAAGTGAAAAAGTTATTCCTTTAAGGTGCATTCTGTGAATTTTCTAGGATCTGCCACCTGCTTTTCTTCGTGGAGATGTTATTGCTCTGTCTGGAATGTTTCACAGTACGGTATTAAACCTTTTTTATCTAGTTACAGGTCAGATCTGTGGAGAGGCGACCCCACTCACAGCCAGAATACATGTTTTTTTAGGTGTTTAAGAGCAATAAAACCACCTGTAATTAAATACATGTAAGGTAGAGCTGTTTAATGTCATACCGTGGGACATTCCAGAGCAATGACATCTCCATAGAAACAAGTAGTTGATGGACTGTCAACCAAAAAGTTACACAGTGCACCTTTAAATCTGTAAGTGCTTATAACATAATGGCGGGTGCTGGGGTTAGCCTGAGTGTTAAGTCGTGTTTTGTCCCTCCTGTTGAAAACACGGAGACTGGAATGTCCCAGTTTCCTTGAACCTCTCACGGACTGGCACCACTCGCCCCGGACCTACCCCACACCTTCTGGGAAAAGCCAAACTCAGAACACTTGCGCCGATGTTGTTTACCACGAGAGCGCCCAACGATTTCCAACAACACGAAGCATCGTTCAACCAGGCCCCTCTCTCTTCAACACATTCTGTAGTTAGTTTATTTCTTCTTCAGTCAATTAATATAGTCATTAATTTTACAGACTGTGGGGGTTTAGGCTGAAGTTTTAACACTTTTTTTTTGCCTAACCCTATTAACATCTAGACTAGGATACAAGAAGGCAGAAAAAAATAAAACAACAACAACAAAAAAAACAAATCTTTTATGAGTGTGGGAAAGAACACAATATATTGCTGAAATAAATATACCATAGATGATAAACGAAAATACTGAAATCAAACCATAAAGCAGAATTATCCACAAAAAAGTACTCAAATGTACAAAATTGTCAACAAATATTAACTGCAATAAAGAAATAACGACACTTAAAAGGTGCGTTGTGTAACTTTTTGGTTGGCTGGTCCATCACCGTCTTGTTTCTATGGATACGTCATTGCTCTGCTTGGAATGTTCCACAGTATGGCATAAGACTAATTTACCTTACGTTTATTCAATTACAGGTGGTTTTATAGCTTAAAAATACCTCAAAAAACAGGAGTTCTGACTCTGTGGCTCAGTCCACAATTTTTTTTGGGGGGGGGGTTGGAAAAAATTTGCATCCACACACGTGTCGGATCAATAAATATTCACGGCCACATGACAACGGAGCCACTGGACACACAATACTACAAAGATAAATAAAGTAAGGTAAAGTTAGATAAATAAAGTCCTTCTGGTCACGTGGCGATGACGGGGTCGGGACGTCATCATGTTTCCAAAAGCAACGGTTTTGCTTCTCCACATGACAACACAACGCCGGTGTTCTCAGATTTCTCCACTCTGGAACCAGTTTTCAAAAAAATATCGTTTTCGCCCACCCGAAACGCCAGCTTTGTGCGGACAAAAGGCCAAAACGAATAAAAACTTCACCGTTTTGACCAAAAAACGTTGTAATGTGGACACCACCTGAGCGGGGTCGCCTCTCCACAGATGTGAGCTTTAACTTGGTCTACTTTGGCCTTCATGATGATAGAAAGAATTAATGCCACACTGTGAAACATTCCAGACAAAGCAATAACATCTCCATGGGGACAAGGAGGTGGTGGACGCTCCATTAGAAACGTTACACAATGCACTTCAGCCTTCGACAGTTTAAATCTCATTGTAGTACCTAAAAGTATATTCCGCAAATTCCTGTCACGTACTGAACAATAAGTTGAAACAGCGTTTATCGTGACCTACATTCA